GACGTATTCTCAGGAGAGACTTGGAGAGTTTCTGTAGAAGGACATCATACTTCGGAAAGAAGAGGTCAAAGACCTTCAACAAGGTGGGTGGGCCAGGTGGCTGCAAGAGTGGCTTCAAACACGGCAACAGGTAGGAGGATGGCCGGGGACCTGGCAGTGTTCTGTTCCATTGGCTGAAGGGTTGGCTAGGAGTCTGAACAGACCCCAAGGCACCTAATAACAACAACATGATGATGAGAGGCAGGATTAGTGGCAGGTATGTTAAAGAAGCAGGAGACAAGCCCCGGGGTTCACTTGTATCTCCGGTCAGTTTCTTTTGCGGCCTGATAGAGAAGCTAAGTTGGCCAGCAGAGATCAGAAGAAGCGCCTACCACCAAGGAAGAAGAGGCGGCAGTGGAGCGTCCCATCCTTGGCCCCGGAGTCCCTGTACTGAGAAACTCCTGGGCCCAATGGAAGACTGGGGACAGAGCAGAGGCAGAGAGACTCCCCCTGGAGCCGGTGCCCTGCATTGGGCCGTCTAGCCCCTGAGGCGAGAGCTTACATTTCTGTGCGTTAAAGCAATCTGCTTGTGGTACTTTTTGGTAGTAAAGCGGCGCTATCTACCTAAGGCACTCTCGCTTTACCTTCTATGGAATGGGCAGCTGAAGTCTAGGTGTTAGTTATTCTCCACTTGCCCTCCCTGACTTTTGAAAATGCAACATACCATAGTGTTCAAAGGGCATTGGCTCTGAAGCCAGACCACTTGAGTTAAAATTCTGCCCATTGTTAGCTGTGTCATCTTTAGCAAATTACATAACGGTGCCTCAGTTTCTTCGCCTAGAACATGGAGGTAAGAATAACACAATCCACCTAACTTTTTTTCCCCCATCATTTTATTGGGGGCTCATACAACTCTTACCACAATCCATACATCAATTGTTTAAAGCCCATTTGTACATTCGTGACCCTCATCATTCTCAAAACATTTGCTCTCCATCTAACTGTTTAGAAGACCGCTCTCCATCCAAATTAGCTGCTGCTTGTTTAGTTGGTGTAGAGTGACCCGCTGACCGCCTGGGCTCTCCTCTGACCATGCTCTCCCAGGAATAGGGTGTCGCTTTTGTGAACCCTGATGCTTCAGAGGCGTTATTCTCCATTCGTTTCATTGGTATTTCCTGCTCTGCTCCCTTGTTTTGCGATGTGGTCCCGGACCACTTCCGGAGACTCATTTCTTGCTTCGTGGGCCCCAGTTACCCTCCACCTGACCACTTGCAGTTGGCTAGGCACATGTCACTAACAGCGCGGTGCCTTTGTGCATAGCATTTCTTCTGTCTGGAGTGCCTATCTGTGGTTTGTTCGGCGAATCTCTATTCATTCTGTTTAACTCAAACCAGGCCTCAGTTGGATCTAGCAGTCTTCAGTCCGATTTAGCCACTTTCTCTTGTGTGCGCCCGTTGTCTGTTGTACGACCCTGTAGCAAAGTGAAGACCCTTTTGGTATAATTACTTCCCTGTCTTTGCTACAGAGCTCTAAGAAGGCAGGGATTGCGCCTTATTTATCATGGCCCCAGCTTCTAGTACAGAGTCTGGTGACATCAAGTGGATGTCAAAAGTGAGTGACAGAGAGAATGGATGGAGGATCGTGGGGAATTGCTTTTTGGTTCTAGTATGCGAATGCTCCAAGGACAGGGCGTGTCAGTGCAGGTGCCTGATATCCTGCTTAATAAGCACTTAATAATTTGACTCATGGAGGTAGAGATAATAGTGGCAATAAAAAGATACCAGAGGCTGACCAAGAGTCACTGAGTCATCCCAGGGGCCCTCTGTCCTGACAGACTGGATGGCTGGTAAATCATGGCTGCCTGATCCCACCATGATTCACTGCAGCCTAGTGGTAAGAACCTAGCCTCCAGCATCCTACAGACCCGCATCAGAATCCCAAGGCAGACCGTATCAGACAGTCCTTTGCATACCTGACTGAGCATACGGATATAGTTACATACAAATCCCATCCCCATAAGCCACTGATCATGGGGCCTTCAGACTCGGGGAAGGCATCATTGCTTTTATTACACTGTACCATAATTATCTCCTTCACTCTGTTATATTTATCTGTATGTTCCTAAGACAAGACCAGGTGGTAGCGCCTAGGGAGTGGCACAAAAGATCCAGACAAGCAATAGACAGGCCTACAGGGCCCGGACCTCATGAAAGGAGGGGGGAGGCATTTGAAAGGAGTAAGGCAGCCTCAGTCCTGGAAGGCACGTGGATGATGGAAACATTGTTTCGCTGAGAAAAGAAGGCTGGGGTGGGGAGTGAGAGGAAAGTTCTATAGAAGTTAGGCTAGAGGCAGGAATCAACAAGGTGGAGCAAAGCCTTGCAATGAGGGAAGACCAGGAAGGGGCATACAAGAGATCAGAAGGCCCCAAGTCCCTGACTTTGCTCGCCTTGATTTCGTGAACTCCACACGTGTTTCTGAAACAGGACCCAAACACCCTCTGGATGTCCAGAGTGGGATATTAGAGCAGGAAACAGCAATTGGACTTACCTGACAGCTGTGTAGGGAACAAGGCGTATGCTCTGGAAACAGTGCCCTCGGGAGTCTGCAAGGTGAGATGGGGGGACCAGACGAGGATGGAGAGGATGGAGAGCTGGCCTGGGAGAGCGCTGAGGGCCCGAGGGGGAGGTCTTTGGAGGTCTGGTGGGGGGATGAGGTTGACCTAGAGCCAGTTCTGGGTTCCAATGGATGCTTCACTTTGGGAATTTGGCTAGGTCCTAGCTGCAGGGCGAGGGCGAAAGCCGGGTCTTTCTACCCCTGTAAACACGCACAGTCTTGGACGTGCACAGGGGCAGTCTGCCTGTCCAGCAGGGTCCAGGTAAGGCCACCTCGAGTCAGCACGGACTCCATGGCAGTCAGTTGATGAGGATGGTGTGTTTTCCTCCAACAGTTTATTGGCAAGTAATTTACATATCATATCATTCTTTTTAAAAATATATCATATAATTCAATAGTTCATTCAATCGTATCAAGGAGAATTGTACAATCACCCCCACATCAATTTTAGAGCCCTCCCCCCATGGTTAAATCGCCTTTAAGATGACTTATGCAATTACAATCCATCTAGTGCTCCCTCCCCCCTCCCGTCTTCATGAGTTACTGCTGAAATCCCCTTTCCCTCCCGATCTTCCACCCCCAAGTTTATGCATTTTTAGTTGAGGGGGCCACTTCCTAGATGGAGTCGTGAAACAGGGTCTGTCTGACCTGACTGAGAGGAGGCCGATGCTGGAGTCACCGTGGGGAAAGGATCTGATTGGTTAGTTGAAGTCCCAAATGGCAAGCAGACTTAGGAGACCCTGAAAATGTGCCTCTCTTGGGGAGCTCTTTGCCCTGGACTGTAACACCTGGACAGCAAGGAGCATGTCCTGTGGTGTGTCCCACCCTCAGAGCAGCGGGGTGTATGTGTCTGGCTGTCTGGTTTGCCAGGTGGACCTAATTGAGTGGCTGTGGGCCACGCACTTCCATGCTATGTGTATGTAGGTGGTGGGTCTGATTTATGGATCTGTGTAGATGTGTCTGAGTTGCAATCTTCCTGTGAGAGTGAACGTGCGTTAAGAATTGTATGTCTGAATTACGCACTGCATCTTTGTTGTGGGGCTTAAGTTGAACGTTTTTTGCCTGGCGCGTGAATAGGTGATTGGGGAAGGAACAAGATGTGCATGCTACTGGCACTTGGGTGCCCGCTCTGAGTGCATGGCCACTCAGCTGTGATCCCGATCCTGGGGACTATAGGGAGACGGCTGAGTGGCAACTCCTAGACTGTTGTCCCCAAGTGAATGACCTTTCACTCGGCAATAATTAACTTGACCCCGTGAGAAGAATCCAAACTGTGGTGGTGAGGGGGTGGGGCTGCTCAGGGCAGGCCTGATTGCTAGAGCAAGGAGAGCCCCCAAAGGGGGCCCTATTGACATATGTGTTATCATTCCTCCCGTCCCCCAACAGGTCAGTCACCCTGAGCCAGGGACACTATTCAAAATACTTCACAGACAGTGAGGCGCAGGCACCTACCAATCCGAATAGACATGAGCTTGGCACCGAGCAGAGCAGCCCTGCAGGCCCTGGCTATGCAAGCTTTGCCAGGCAATGGAACTGCCCCAGGGGAGGAGCTGGGGCAGAGGGGCAGCGGACATGCTGTTCAGAGAGACCAGTCTCTGGAGAAGCTGAAGAGGCTGGAGAGACCAGTCTCTCATGCCTGGTAACGTGGAGGGGCAGCAAGAAAGAGGATGACCCCTGATGAGGTGGATTGGCACCGTGGCTGCCACATTGCAATAATGCAGGTGGCCTGCGGCTGGGAGGAGTTTCATTCTGTTGTACGTAAGGTCTCTGAGTTGGGGCAGGCTGGGTAGCACCCAACACCAACACAAGGACGATGCAGCAATTGTGTAGCCAGCTGCCAGGGTTTTTAACCCTCTCTGTGACTATCCCATTGTGGTCTATGCATTGTCACTTTGACCTATCTTGTCCACCAATCAGCTGCCAGGCAAGCCCTGGGTCCCCTTACGCTCTCCCATGGGCGACCCCTCGCATTAGCTTCGGGAATGGGGAAAGTAACTTATTCCAATCGACATTCCATTGGCCTTGTCTGTTTCCATGTGTGAACGAGAGGCTTCGTTTTCCAGATTGGTTGTCATCCGAGTCTCACTGAGGTGAGTGGCAGCCAGCAGGGAGTGAAATTCAGGGGAGGGGTCAGTGGGGGGTTCGAAATGGGGGAGATGCTCCCTTCCTCCAAGGAGAAAAGCACGGAGGTGAGGGGGTTGTGAACTAACACCGTCCCCAGAGCTCAGACCACGAAGTCAAATCAGTTTCATTCCCAGACATGAACTCATCCTCCGTCCTGAAAAAGCAATACCCCAGCTCCCCATGAGCTGCCTCCTGTAGCCCTTTGTGCCCTTCCTCCTTGGGCAGGAGGGGCCCTGGAGATGAGATCGTCCCCTCCACACACACAAATGACAGTGTGAGACCCCAAGGTTGAAACACCTTTTATTAAAAAAATACAACGATAAGTTAAAGTTCTGTACAAAGCCAGTGAGACGCTCGGTTGACTGAGCAGCTCATGTTCCAGGGACTGAAGTCTTGGGCCAGAGGCTCTGGGTGCCACCGAGGGCCAGCCTGACAGCCGGGTCACCGGGTCCAAAGCAACGAAGTCCAAGCAGGATGGGTGGGGCAGAGTGAGGGCCCCAGAGCTCCTCAGACTGGACAGGGCCCAGGTCGTTGTCTGCCCGGGCTTCCCCTTCCAGGAGCACAAGGTGGCTTCTGGGGACAACCTTCCCCTGCCCACACCTGGTCTCTGCCCAGGCCGCAGCAGGTCAGTTTGGTAAAAGCATGTCCTCGAGAAGGCCAGCGACGTCGACGTCCCCAATGATAGGGCGAAGAAACAGGTCTCCAAGCAGGCCGGCGGGGATGCACTTGAGAGTGGAGGCCATGAGGAGGGTGTGAACCAGCCGGCCGTGGCCCGTCGGCCACCAGGGCTCCAGGGTTTCACACAGCGCCTGGTGAGCCTCCTGCTGCAGGTGCCCGATTTGAGAGGAGGCGTGGAGGCCTGGCACGTCTGTGGGCAGAGAGGGTGAAGAAGACGGGTGAGCACCCCCTCCCAGCCAGTGAAGGGTAAGGCTGCTCGCAGACCCCCATCTGCTTCCCTGGCTCAGCCTTCGGGACCCCACCACGATGGTCTCCTTCCCGCCATTTATGAAGGGTCACTGTAAGTGGCTGTCACGTATACACCCTGTGACTTTAGGCACCCCACCCCATCTCCGCACCTCACTTTCCCCATCTAAAAAATGGAAAGAATAGTGCCTAGTTCAAAGGCTGATGACAAAGTGCCTTGTCCATGAGCTGCTATATGCAACCCCTTAGAACACACAGTGTGTCATGGGAGCATTCACTACGGCGATCATACTCAATTGCTGTAATTAAGCATTCTGTGAGGCCCTTTGGTGGGGAACGCTTGTCTCAGATGCTCCCTGGATTCTAGAGAGCGTCAGGCTCGGCTGCAGCTCTCTTAGCCCCCTCTCTGCTCCACAGCACCCACTTTGTGTGTCCCCCTATGTGGCCTTTCTGAGCCTAGAGTTCTAGCCTCGGAACTGCACAATACAGCCGGTCCCTAGAGATGGGCTGGACGCGGCTGTGTCTGCCCACCCTCACCACTACCTGCCCTAAGGGTAATGAGAAAATGTAGGTGTGTGTGTGTGGGGGGTGCAGAGTAACCAAAGAGCTTGTCTCTGGAGCGAATAAACATGCGTTCTCTACCCCTAACCTGCCCCTACCTGGCTGTGTGACTTTCTTTTGGGCTGTGTGACCACGTTCAAGTCACCTGGCCTCTCTGGACCTGTTGGGAGGTGGGTATTTAACCATCACGAGGAGCCAGTGAGGTCAAGGCGCCTTCCCCAGGTGAACTTATTCAACACCCCTTCCCAGCCTCGACCCTGCCAGCTGTCTGGGGCTCACCAGGGTTGAAGAGGATGGCTCCTTTCAGGCAGGCATACTCTTTGGGGCCCAGCTCCAGGCTCCAGAACGACTCCAGACAGCACTGCAGCCACCGCACTGCAGCCAGCGAGGGCTGGGGCCTGCCGGGCAGTGGGCCGCTGCCGCCTGGCTCCTCCAGGAGGATTGTCTTCAGGATGCTGGGCACCGGGAGTTCGGCCACCTCAAAGATCACCATGTCTTGGGCCAGCCCCAGCAGGAAGAGGGGGCCCCAGCAGGCACGCAGGAGCCACCGCCGATCCTGGCGGGGCAGCTGGCAGAAGGATGGCAGGTTCCTGAGGAAGGTCACCATCTTGGCCAGAACATCCAGGGCCTCCTGGCAGGTGCGTTGGGGGTTATTCAGGCAGACAGGCCGGTGCTGCCTGCACAGGCAGCGGCTCCGTGTGCGGGGCACAGAGGGCCTGGCCGTGAGGCTGGGGCTCAGGAGCGCGTACAGGATGGCGGGGCGGCCTGCGGCAGCCCGGCATGAGCAGGCCGGCTGGTCGGAGCTCATGGTCGGGATCTGCTCCTCCTTCCTCCTGGCTCTGCAGCCTGCTGCTCTTCACTGTGGGCACTATTTATACTCCCCGGGGCCTGCCAGGACAACCTTGACTCCAGAAGTCGTTCATGTTCATTGTAAAAATCGCACACACGCACACACACTGACCCTGGCAGGACTGGACCAGTGGGGAAGTGGTGGGGGAGGGGCGCAGTGGGAGCCGCTATCGCTTCAGTCAATGAAAGGGCCGACAGAGAGCACAGGGCTGCCTGCCAGCTGACCTCGCTGCCCCTTATCGGATGACTCAAGCGAATAAACAAGGTCATTAACCCAGGCTGTACCAGGGCACCAAGGCCTCAGGTGCACAATCAGCAGGGACCCTGGCAGGTGTCCCGACAGGTGCCCCCCTCTTGGGCTTGCACAAACTAGGGCTCTTGCTAGGCGGGCAGCCAGCCCTGGAGATGGACAAGCCTTGAACGCAGGCCCAACCTGGAAGTACCTTATCGCTGACTTGTTTGGCTGACCTTGGAGTGCTGCTGTTGGTAAGGACAGGTCAGAGGGCAGGGAGCCAGAACTACGAGGTGGGGGTGGGGCAGGAGGCTTGAGCTCATGGTGCTCCCCACCCCCACTGACTCCAGCCGGGAGTGGGGCGTCCTGAAGAAAGAAGGCCCTTCGGAATTCACTCTCCCCTGTCTGGCTTCTCAGAGCTTCTGGGGAGAAGTGCGGACAGACAGACAGTGAGATAGGAACACGGCTGCCCTGCGAGGTGCCAGGTACTTTCCACCCTAACATGAACAACTTCCTCATGAGCCAAGGTTTTACCTTTGTGAGACGCAGAGACATGAAGCCACTCGCCCAGGCTCACGCAGCCAGGGAGGGACAGAACCCAGCTCTGACTACTCCGAAGTCCTTGTTTACTGTGCCCCCCCCCCCCATCCTCTGGCCCAATCATGCACCCAGAGTTGTGCTACCTGAGTTTCCCAGTGCTGGTGGCGACCTGGGTGGGCACCCATCTTTCTGCTGCCAGGTCTGCAGGTGATGCCCACTTGTGCTCTGGGCAGAACTATTGCTCTGCCTACTGTCCTGGGCATCTCTGTGGGTGTCTGTCTCACAGTGGGGAGAGGAAGGGTGGTGGGGTGTCCTCGCCTGGGTCACGTCCCGGACCTCGGCAAGCTCAGCCTGGCAAACCATAGTATGGGCCAGCCTGGTACCCTAGGAAAGGAGGGGAAATGCTAGCCCCACCCAGGGCTCTAGCTGCTCCTTAATGTCCTGGCTGGTTGGCCTCTCTGGACCTCAGGAGCCTCCACCGGCACAGTAACACCTGCCAGCAGGGCTGTTGTGGGGACAAAGGGAAGCCCTGGGTGTCAAGTTCTGAGCTATTAGAAGTGGCGTACAGTAGGGGGATTTCACGCTCCCTTTCCTCTGCCTAAGGAACTATGCGTCCACAGAAAAATGGCCACACATCTTCCCTTTGGCTATGCGTAATCCCGATTCCTTGAATCTGACAGGTTCCTTTCATGTCTTTCTGTCTCCCTAGATCCTCCTGAACCCGGGGCTGCACTGCAGCAGACTGTGGAGTCTGATCCCTGGGTTCAAATCCTGCTTCCTCACTTCTTAGCTGAGTGACCTGGGGCAACTCCCTTCATTTCTCGGTGCCTCCACTGCCATGTCTTTATGAAAGGATGGCCAGGATGGTTGTCTTAGACTTGGCTCCCTAGAGAAGCACAACTGGTGAGGCTTATATTTGTCCATGTGTGGTTGTTCAGATCGGTTCCTTAGGATTGTGAGGATCTGGAAGTCGGTTACTTACAACACACAGCAACCCTGTGTTCCACAGAAGGAAACCCCGCCAGTCTGCGCCATCCTCGCCATCGCTCCTATGTGTGAGCCTGTTGTGGCTTCCTCTTTTTCACCGACCTTCCCCTTCGCCATGCATGATGCGTACCCCTTCTCCAGGGATTAGTCGCTCTTGATAACATGTCCAAAGTACATGAGACCAAGTCTCGCCACTCTCGCGTCTAAGCAGCATTCTGGCTGTCCCTCTCCCAGGACATCGTTCCTGCATCACAGCAACATGCAAGCCACCACAGTACAGCCGACTGACAGACAAGTGGGACTCACACAGCTGTAGCAGCAGGCTAGTTCCAAGCCTGGGGGTCAAACGCCAGGCTGGAGGCTTCTTCTGACTGGAGTCGCTGCGGGAGATGTTGAGACTAAGATGGGGAGGAAGATAACAGTTGTGGCTCCAGAGGGGCAGGACGCCAAGGTTGGCAGGTAAGGTGGCAGGCTTCTCCAAGGATCGGTAGGCAGGGTGGCAGGCTGTTGACTGATCCAAAGAACTAGAGGTTAACCAGCCAAATGCCGGATACAGACCCAGCAAAGAGCAAGCACTCACCCACCCAAGGGGAGGGTGTTGTTTATATCTCCACAGGAGAGGGGGAGAGGGATCAGAGTTCAACCCTGCGTGCCAAGACGTGAAAGCAACATGCAGGCCTGAAGCAGGGAACCAACAGAGAGGTCACCGCCCCCCAATTCCAACTATGCGGGCACCCCCACCCCAGAGGAATGCACTTCATAGGGCAGCCCTGACGCTCAGGAAGAGGGGAGTGTCTGATCAGGAGCTAACGAAGAGGGAAGGAGAGAGAGTGGAACACACCCCGGCCCACCAAGCCCTGAGAACAATATTCCGGTTCAGAGCAGCCAATGCACAGAGAGGATCACAGGGCCAGCCCCATCAGGAGACACGACGACGTCCCTCACGGACACATAGCACTAAGGGGACAGCACTGGGGCCACGGTGTGGGAGCTGTGTCCGAGCCAACCCCACCGCACCAGGGTGAGCACTAAGGGTGTACAGTGGAGCAGCAAGGGGAGCGAAGCAACGAAGTCCCCAGGGGGCAAGGGCGTGGCACCCCAGCGACTGGACTGGAAAACACTCATAAAGGTCAACGGACACACCTGGAACTGCTTGAGGGCTTTTCAGCTTTGCTGTTGGCTTTTCTTTTGTCCTTATTTTTCTGTTTTGTTGTATGAGCTGTTGTTGATTTATTTTTTGTCTTCTCTTTTTGTTATGTTTTGTTTTGCTTTGTTTTCGGGAGTGCTGTTGTCTATGCATGTCTATCTGGACAAGATAGGGGGGTGAACAATGCGGAGGAGGGAACAATGGGACCTATGGTTCTGGTGGGGACAGGGGAGAGGGAGAGCTAGGGGAAAGTAAGGGGGATGCCAACAAACCCAGGGACAAGGGAAGAATAAGTGATCTAAAATCGATGGTGAGGAGGGCATAGGAGGGCATGCTTGGGTGGGGGGCTCAATCAAGGGTAATGTAGCCGAGAGGAATTACCAAAACCCAAATGAAAGCCGAACATGATAGTGGGGCGGGTGGAAAGGAAAAGGAAATAGAAGAACTTGGAGGCAAAGGACATTTAAAGAGCTCTAAATACAGGCATGTATATATGTAAATACATTTATATACAATGACAGGGGAAAGAGCTATATACATGTATTTATTTATAAAGTATTACAGTAGCAGATGGACATGGGCCTCCATTCACGTACTCCCTCAACACAGAACTTTGTGATGGTTCACCTTCCCTGACACGATCGTTGAAGACAAAGCAGGTACATAAGCAAATGTGGTAAAGAAAGCTGATGGTGCCCGGCTATCAAAAGATATAGTGTCTGGGGTCTGAAAGGCTTGAAGATAAACAAGTGGCCAGCTAGCTGAGAAGCAACAAAGCCCA